GCGGCAAGTACGACACAACGCACGGCACCAACTGCAATACAAAGCACGACAACACAGGGTACGACGACACGCGACACGACCGAGCAGCCCGAATGGGTTATCAAGGTAACACCGGTGAGCATTGCGGCTGCGAGCAGCAGCGCGTGCGTTCCAGCACGGCGCGGGGCGGAAGCTCGCGGAGTTCTTGGGCGCGGGGGGGGAGGGGAAGATAGGGGGGACCTTCTCCTATCCTCACTCAAGTCCCACCACCCCTGACGCAGTGCGTGCGGCGCGAGGCCAGGGCGGCGCGCATCGCCCACCTCCCCAACAGAGGGGGGGGGGGGGGGGGCGCAGCCCCTGTGTGCGGGACGGGGTGGGGATGGAAGGGCACCATAAGGCACCATAAGCCTGCCCGACACCAGCGGGACGGCACCATACGCCTTCCCAAACCCTGCGAAATGTTGCTTCGTATGCATCTGGATTCATTCACTCATGTTTTCGATGAATGCAGTACTCCATGGCTTCATCCTCCTCCTCCTCCTCCTCCTCCTCCTCCTCCTCCTCCTCCTCCTCCTCCCCCCTCGCAGCGCCTCCAGCAGCTCGGCGGCCCTCTCCACCTCCTCCAGCCCGGCGTCCCGGCGCGACACGGTGTCCTCGGCGCGGAGTCGCAGGCAGTGGGCGTGCATCTGCAGGGCCTGACCGACCTCCTCCGCGCCGAGGCCCAGCTGCCTCCGTCGGGCTTCGGGAGGGAGAGGAGGCTTCAGTGGGAAGGCAAGAGGGGGAGGAGGGGGAGGAGGAGAAGGAGGAGGAGGAGGAGGAGGAGGAGGAGGAGGACGAGGAAGGCCGTTTGCGGGAACTCTACCCCCCGCGCTCGCCTCTGAGGGGAGGATGAGGATGAGGATGAGGAGGAGCAGGAGGAGAAGGAGGCGATGAGGAGGAGCAAGGAGCGAGAAGCGAAGAGGGAGGAGGGGCGAGGAGGGAGCAGCCAGGAGGAGGAGGAGGAGGAGGAGGAGGACGAGGAGGAGGAGGAGGAGGAGGGAGGAAGAGGGAGGAAGCGGTAGGAGGAGGAGCGAGGAAGCAGCACCGAGCACCGAGGGCGAGGAGCACGCCGAGGAGGCCTCACGTCCCGCAGCGCCTCCGCCAGGCTCTCTGGGTCGGGCACCTCGGCCTGCAGCACCTCCAGGCACCTCAGCCGCGCGTCCGCCGCCCGCGCCTCCGGCGGCAGCCCGGCGGCGCCCCCGCCCGCCTCGCGCCGCCCGGACGGCGGCGCCTCCTGGCGCGGGCAGCGGCGGAGACGGTCGCGGGCAGGGGCGGCGCCGCCCGCAGCGACGGCGGCGGCGTCCGCAGCACGGCGGCGGCGCCCGCGGCGGCGGCGCCCCCGCGTGGCGGCGCCCGCAGCGGCGGCGGCGGCGGCGCCCGCGGCGGCGGCAGGGCCTGCGTGGCGGCGCCACTCGCGGCGGCGCCGCCCTCGAGCAGCTCGAGCGCGGCGACGAGCTCGTGGCGCCGCCGCGTGGTGAGCTCCAAGAGGCTCCGCACCTCGAGCCCCTCCACTCCCTCTGCCTCCCGCCCCTCCTCTCTTGCTCTCCTTCTCCTCCTCCTCCTCCTCCTCCTCCTCCTCCTCCTCCTCCTCCCTCCCTCCCTCCCTCCCTCCCTCCTCCCTCGCTCCCTCGCTCCCTCGCTCCCTCGCTCCCTCGCTCCCTCGCTCCCTCGCTCCCTAGCTCCCTCGCTCCCTCGCTCCCTCGCTCCCTCGCTCCCTCGCTCCCTCGCTCCCTCGCTCCCTCGCTCCCTCGCTCCCTCGCTCCCTCGCTCCCTCGCTCCCTCCGTCCCTCATTCCTGCTCCGGCTCCTCCTGCTCCTGCTCCTGCTCCTGCTCCTGCTCTCCCTCCTGGCTAACTCCCTCGCTCCCTCCGTCCCTCCCTCAATCCTGCCTCCGCTCCTCCTGCTCCTTTTCCTGCTCCTGCTCCTTCTCCTGCTCCTGCTCCTGCTCCTCCTCGTCCTCGTACTCCTCCTCGTACTCCTCCTCGTACTCCTCCTCGTACTCCTCCTCGTACTCCTCCTCGTACTCCTCCTCCTCCTCCTCCTCCTCCTCCTCCTCCTCCTCCTCCTCCTCCTCCTCCTCCCCGACAGCTCTCTGGAGGAGTGTGGGGGAGCAGGGGGAGGAGAGAGGAGGCGGACCGCAAGATGGAGCAGGGAGGAGGGTGAGGAGGGCGGCGGACAGAACGAGGAGGCAAGGAGGAAGGAGCGGGAGAGAGAGAGAGAGAGAGTAGAGGAGATGGTGGAGGAGGATACGCGCTGCGTTTCAAGTCATCCTGTTCAAGGCTGTGTGCACCATCGGCGGGCGTCCATCACAGTCCCCGCCGCGGCCTGCAGAGGGCCTACGGGGCAGCAGTGATCTCGCGCGCGCCACCGGCTAGCGCGGCGAATTGTGATGTGTATGCCAGTGCCCGCTTCGCCCGTGTCTCTCCTCGTCTCCTCCCTTTCTCGCTCATCCCTCCCTCCTTCCGCCCCCTCCTCCTGCCTCATATCCCCTCATCCTTCCCCTTTCCCCATCCCTATGCTCCTCATCCTCTTACTCGTCATTGTCCTCCTCCTTCCACCCCCTCCTCCTCCTCCTCCTTCTCCTCCGCCCGTTGTGCACCAATGTCCAGCTGCACCAATCACACGTCGCAAAGACCAGGGTGAGCACCAGGCTCTAAGGACCCAGGAGTGTTTGTTTTCTCCAGCGAGGAAAATCTATGCTGTAGATCTGCCTTGCGGGACATCTTGTGACTGAATTGGGACCTCTTGGGACTCTCTTCTTAAGTTCCAATATGAAGGTCTACGCTGTTGAGTTCACTAGTGAGCCATCCTGTACCTGCCACGGGGGCCCTCTTGGGGCCCTCCTGCGCGATTCCGGCGAATCTGGCAAGTTCCAAGACTAGAACGACCTCGTTCCGTGCGGTCTCGACCGCAGCCCCAATCCATTCGCACGATCGGGACACAGTGCCCTTCAGGGTGGTGACTCCAGGAAACTGGGCCCACTATTGTAGCGGGGTGCAGGCGACCCAAAGCCATATTACCTCAAATCCTCATCCTCATTCTCCGCCTCCTCCTCCTCCTCCTCCTCTCCTCCTCCTTCTCCTCCTCCTCCTCCTCTTCCTCCTCCTCCTCCTCTTCCTCCTCCTCACGTCGAGCTAACTCCGACCGCCCTTTCGGCACATTCACGCATCATCATCCCCTAATGTCCCTTCCTCTATCCCTTCCTCTCCTTCTCCTCCTGCACCTCCACTTCCTCATCCTCCTTCCCCTTCCGCTCCACATCCCTATTCCAATTCTCCTCCTCCCCCTCCTCCTCCTCCTCCTCATCTCATCAACATCACCACCACCACCACCACCACCACCACCACCACCACCATCATCATCATCATCATCATCATCATCATCATCATCATCATCATCATCATCATCATCATCATCATCATCATCAGCAGCATCACTATCACCATCACCATCATCATCATCATCATCATCATCATCATCGTCATCGTCATCATCGTCATCATCATCGTCATCATCGTCATCATCATCATGATCATCATTATGATCAGCATCAACAACAGCATCAGCATCATCATAATCAGCGTCATCATCATCAGCAGCATCATAAGCATCGCCAACAACATCAGCACCATCAACATCATCATCGTCATCATCATCATCAGCAGCATCATCATCATCAGCAACATCATCATCATCAACAGCACCTTCATCATCTTCATCATCTTCATCATCATCAGCAGCATCAACATCATCACCATCATCACCATCGTCGGTACCGTCAGCATCATTATCAGCATCAACGCCAACATCTTCACCCTCATCATCACCACCAACACTTTCATCAGCATCAGGGTCACCACTACCACCACGACCACCATGACCACCACCAACATCCTCATCATGATTCATCATCATCAGCAGCATCATCGTCATAGTCATCGTCATCATCAGGTTCATCGTCATCAGCACCATCATCATAACCACCATCACCATCACCATCATCATCACCATCATCATCATCATCATAATCACCATCAGCATCATCATTGTCAAAATCATCGTTATCATCATCTTCATGTTCATCTTCATCTTCGCCATCGGCGTCATCATGTTTGTGGTCATCACCATTATCACCATCATCATCATCATCATCATCATCATCATCATCATCATCATCATCATCACAAGCATCACCATCATTGCTCTCACAAATATAGTCACCAGTATCATCAGCATTAACAGTATCATCCTTATCATCAACAGAACCATCATCACCATCACCACCACAACCATCATCAACAGCATCAGCATCATCATCAGCATCATCATCACCATCATCATCAGCATCATCATCCTTACCATCACCACCAGCATCAGTCGTATCATCATGATTATCCTCTTTCTACTCCTCATTCCCCTCCCCCTGCCCCTGCCCCTCCTCCTCCTCCTCCTCCTCCTCCTCCTCATCCTCATCCTCTTCCTCCACCCCCTCCTCCTCCTTCCCCTGACCCTTCTTTCATTTTCCATCCCCTCCCGCTCATCCTCATCTTCCTCCTCGACATCTTTCTGGTCTTCCTGGTTAATCCAGCTCCTTGCCCTCAGCCACCATTCCAACCACCTTCTCCCTCCTCCTCCTCCTGCTCCTCCTCGTCCTCCTTCTCCTCCCCTGTTCCTCCTCACTGCTGTTGCTGCTCCTCCTCTCTCTCTCCATATTCCTCCTCCTCCTCCTCTTCCTTACCGCTCCTTGTCCTAATCGCCCGCCTCTAGTTTTGCAACAGAGGTCGAGGTCGAATTCCTGAGCGACTGCTAAGCAAACTGCCGTCTCGCAAGATTGCTTCAAATCCGTCGACCTTGTCGGCATGCGTGACAGGTGACTCGTCGTCGTCGTTATCGTCGTCGTGACCGTCGTCGTGAAGGCCGTCGTCGTCGTCGTCGTCGTCCTTCCCCCTCAAGCGTTCCAGCCAAAGTAAAAGCGTCGTAGTCGAGTCGAGGGGGAGCCCCTTCCCTGTGATCCCTTCCTCGCTGGGGGGACGGGGGTCCTCAGGAGGTGGGGGGGTCCCCGGGGGGGGGGGTCCTCGGGATGTGACTCCCTCGCGGGGGGAACGCACCTCCCTGGGAGAGCCTTTCGGCTCCAGGGCGTCAGCATCGCCGTAGTCGTCGTCGTCGTCGTCGTCGTCGTCGTCGTCGTCGTCGTCGTCGTCGTCGTCGTCGTCGTCGTCGTCGTCGTCGTCGTCGTCGTCGTCATCATCGTCGTCGTGGTCGTCGTCGTCAACCTTCAGGGTCGGCGGCACTGGCTTAAATGTCCTCGAAAAATTCCTGTGCCATGATCGCTGGACTCGTTGGTTCAACAAAAACGTATGACATTCCCAATCATCACGCGTTGTGAGTGCTCTTCGCTGCGGGGGTGCCCCAGTGGCACCAGGAACAGCACCCCCCCATCTGAAAAGAGCACCAGGCTGGTAGTATGTTGACGAGCCTATCGCACGACGCTATACACTCTATATCCGCTGCTGCGGGTCGCTACGACATGCTTCACGAGGCGATCGGCGCCCGCGATCGGATATAAACAACCTGCCTTGTAGCCGCAAACGTGCTGGACTATGCACCGCGTATCGTGCTAGATATTATGCGCGGCCCGTTCAGTTTACCACCGTAGCGTTCGCCAGACCTGCAACAGTCTGGTTGTCCGCAACGGGCTCTGCCAGGGAACGCATAGAGGAGCGCGTTCAGAACAACGCATCGCGGCACAAGTCGGGCGGCCCCAACATCAATTCCAAACAGCACTTTGCCGATTCGTCATGGCATCGGGCATTATCTGGATCCTGTTGGTAGGCTCTTGTTCTGAATATAATGGTCGGCCATCCGACATCAGACTTCACCCCTTCCCAAGGCACTTCGGCCCCCGCGGCGTCAACCGCAAAAACATTTTGCGGCGCCCGCGGAAGGGGGAATACTCCTGACACGGCCCTTGGGGACAGGTCGAGGAAAGGCCGGCGAGTCCCACGTAGACAGGAGCGCGCTGGCGCACGCCGCCCCGCGATCGGCTCATAAGGACAGGAGGACAGGAGGACAGGAGCGCGCTAAGTCCGCCGGACGGCCAGCAGGCCCCCTAGGAGCAGCGCGGGTGGGCCGGAGCCCGGTTATTGCATGTTGTTTAAGAAGGCGTCTTCCCAGCTGTCCCATAATTTCTGGTCACAAGCATAATGTAACCAATGTTCGGTGACACTCCAAGTGGTAATTTGTAAAAACTGCGAGACGTCGTCGCACCACCGCTTGCGTTGTCGTCCATGTCTGCGCTTTCGATTGTCGTGGACTTCCGGCTCCCACGCTTCCGCAAGCCTTGTCCATCTAAGGTTCGAGTGTGTTGCCACTCGCTTTGCCCACCGCCATTTTCGTCTTTAGTATACTGTTGTCCACTCGCCCACGTGAGAGCGGGCAGCGAGATCTGTAGCAGCATGTGTGGCTCTGCGAATGAACTCCTCCCATGGCTCGAGTCCTGTATCGTCTTCGACGTCGTCGAACTCGAACTCCCTTCCTGCGTCGATCGTGCTGTCGCTGGTGTCATCGTCGGTGCGGGCAGGGTTGGACTGGGCGTCGTCGTCGGCTGCTGCGTTCTGCTGGGTGCTCTCCCGTCGCCTCGGAGTGTTCACAATGAGTCGTAGCATACGTCGTTGTGTACGTCGTAATGTCAGGAGCAGGCCTTTGGCAAGAGTCCACAAAGTGCAGCCGTACATAACTGTCGGTGTTACGGCGCCGCTGAATAGCCGGAGCCTGCTGTGGAGCGGGTACCGTTTGCTCGTTAGTTCGTCGCGCAATTGGTTGAATTGGCGCCATGCCATCGCGATTATGTTGGCGAGCTCGGTGGGGTGGTAGTCGTGGAATGTAAACGTCCGGCCGAGGTACTTCGTGCTCTGTTCGTCGCTGAGGATTTCGACTCTGTCGCCGTCGATGTCAACGTGAGTAATCGTTCGCCCCTGTCGCCGGCTTATGTTCGTGAGGATTTTCGTCTTGTCTGGGTGTATCTCGAGCCCACATTTTGACGCTTTTTGTTTGAGATCACGAAGAGTACATTTCAGTTGTCTCAGGTTGGGTGCGAGTAGTAGGACGTCGTCTGCAAAGCGCAAGTTGGTAAGAAGCGTCGGTTTGGCATGTCCCAATCTGATGCCAAAGCCCATTCGTGTCCAGACTGGCTTGAGTTTCCGGAACACGTGCTCGAGCAGCGCGTTGAGCAAGTAAGAACTTAGAGGGTCGCCTTGTTTGACGCCACGTTCAATACTGAATCCTCTGATGTTGACGTCGGTCCGCACGGTCGCAGTCTATTGTAAAATTTCTGGAGCAGGGTGATGCAGGGTGTCGGCACACCTTGACCGCGGAGAGCTTCCCAAAGGCAGTGGTGATATACGCTGTCGAACGCCTTCTTGAAGTCTATCGCGGCCGTCAATAGATTCATGTGCCATTGGTTGGATTGTTCGAATAGCATGGTCGCGGTGAATAAGTGATTCTCCGTGCAGAAACCTTTTCGGAAGCCAGCTTGGTCAGGTGATTGTTGCGAGTCGAAGTGCGCCTCGAGTTTGTTGCAGAGCAGTCGGGCCATTAGCTTGTACAGCAACGGTATAATGGCAAGTGGTATGTAGTTATAGGGTAGTTGTGGAGTCCCCAGACTTGTGTATGACGCTGATTGTGGTCCGTCTCCATTGCTCTGGCGGTGTCTCCTCCGGCGCCAAGATGTCGTTAAAGAGCTTCAACAAGTGCTGTTCGATGGTGCGCCCTCCTGCTTTCAGAAGCTCTGCGGCAAGACCTGCCGTATCTTTACACCTGCCGTTTCTCAGTTGCTTCACTGCCTGGTGAAGTTCGTCGTCGGTGAAAAGTGGAATACTCTGTTGTTTTTGGCGTGGGAGGTTGCACTCTCCTGCGCTGGCGAATGAGCTTCGGGGGGGGCACCGGTACAGCTTCTCGTAGAAATCGGCGAAGACGTCAGCAATCCCATGTCGGTTTGTCTCGTGGACACCGTCTGCCGTCGTCATGGCTGGTATGAGGTCCTTCTTCCTGCTGGATTTGATGCTGGATATGTTGTTGAGGCCCCGGAACTTGGTTATGATCTCGTTCAGCGCCACCTGCCGTTGAGCTCTCTTAATGGCCCGGTGCTGTCGTAGAATACGTTTGCTGAGAGTTGCCCTCGTGGCTGTGTCGCTGTGCGGCGTGTTCCGGCGTTGTGTGATGAGTGCTTGTAGGTATCTTCGGGCTTCGTCGTCGACACAGGCAGTATATTGTTGCTGTTGCGGTTCATGCATGTGTTGATCCTCCCTCTGCTGCTGATGATCTTTGTAGGCTGCTCTAAGTGCCTCTTCGGTGCGTGCGCAAGCGTCCTGAATGCTGCTTGTCGGGTCGTTGCACGTCAAATGTTTCTTTAAGTGCTGCTGGAAATCCGGGTCGTTAGGTTGCAGCGGTTGGTGAATGTGGTTGCGTCGCGGTCGTCGCTTTCGTCGTCGTGGTTGGCATGTCGGGCCGTCCAGTGCTAGTCGGAAGTGCACGGCCTGGTGGTTGGAGGCGAGGTCAGGGCAAATCGTAGCGAATGCGTCGAGCACCAGGTGCCGGGCCTTCCGGTCCACCAGTATATAGTTTATCTGCGTTTGTGCGTGTCTGGCGCCAGTGTGTGCGCACGTGAAGATATTATGCGGGTGCTTGCAGAATATGGTATTCGCGATGATGAGTTTCAGTACGCAGGCTCATAAGGCCATCACAGCCTGCCGCCACGCCGCGGTCCGCGCCAGAATGCTCGGAGCACATCCACCACGTCCCGGGAACACTCAGAACACAGCTCCGATATGTCCCCACTCTTTCTCTCGTCACCAACGCCTGTCCTCGCTCCACTGATCGTTGCGGCCCCAGCTGCTGCACCAGCTTTGTCAATTGCCTGAGCCCCACCCTGAGCTCCATGACGACCAGCGGCTCTGCGAGACCCGACGCCACGGAGGGCGCGGATCCTCTGCCTCGACTGCGGTCATCAATCGGCTGTCCGCGTGCTGGCACCTCTCGTCGCGGGGTCTGGGGCAGGACTCGATGATGCTGCCGCCGACAGTGATGGTCTGGGACGGAGCTCCCAGAGCGTCGGCTCCGCATCTCGGCGACGCATGACAGCTTGCCGATTTTGCTGTCCCTGGCTGCCGCGACGCTTCACCCCTTTGCCTCCAGTGGATGTGCGCGCCGTCGGCGGGCGGTCCCGGGGCTGGGTCGATGACGGGCGCTTCCCGCCCTGCTTGCCATGAGCGCCAGAGGCCCCGGCACTGCCGACACAGTCAGCAGATGCTGCCCCCTCAGCCGCCGCAGTGGCAACTTCTCCCAGCAGCCCCCAATGCTGTTCCAGCTCCTCCTCCATCTCCGTCTTTGGATCCGCGAGCGTTGGGAACGGCTCAGGGCTACAGACGTTGGCGAGCCACTGCCCCCAGCCGTTCGAGCGTTCATCTTCCCCGATGCCCTCCTGACGCGAATCGTCCCAATCGAAAGGCCCGAGGAGAGAATCATCTTGCTGTTGCATGGCCAGCCTCCTGCTCGTGTGCGGCCACCAGGCCCTTGCGTGGACGATTGCGTTCTGGCACGTGGCCGGAGTGCCGGCGTGCGCCTGTTACTTGATCTAGCGCTTCCCGCTTCCCCAGCTTTTGCGCCTTCTTCTGGCGGTATGCGTTCTGATCGGTCGGCGCTAGGTCGTCTGGAGACGTTGGACGCCAAGCGAAGGTGGACATGAGGCCGTTCTGGTGTGCCGTCCTGCCCTGCAGGGCCTGGCTGGTTGCGCGGGAACGTCGGTCCACAGGCATCGGGCTGGGTTCATGTGTTCTGCGATTCATTGACCCCTCTATCCGTGGCCTGGCCCTGTAGAGCAACCCTCGTGGCATTCGGCACAGGGCCGGGGACATAGTCCCTGGGCTCCTGGTCGACTACTCTTCCGATCACTTTGGCCATGCCACTATCTTGCCACTGATGTGAAG